ACACACACACACACACACACACACAAATCCTCATGCAACCCTGCTGTTATTTTGGGGGGAATCCCCTTCCATTCCAAGGGGCTTGACCATAATCTCTTTTCTTTTCAAAACACTAGAGAGACTTGACTTGTCCTTGATCTGATCCTTTAAACATATTTTCCCACTGAGCTCAAATGTAGCCTGGCACATGTTTATGTACACTTGTTTTTTTTTATATCTGTAAAAAAAGGAAATACTATTGCTACTGCTACTTTTTATTCAGAAGAAAACATTTTCCTGCTTGCATTTTAAGCAAAACATCAGCAGCAGCATAGTATTCCACAGGATTAAACACTATCATGCTGCATCATTTCACACATGAAATGCTTTGTTGTAACTCTATAATAATCTTTAAGTACATCTTCTTATACAATCATATAATCAGGCGTGAAAGATGAAAAACAAAGCATTACAGTAAATTCCATAAAAGCTATGAGCAATCCCCCTTTTTTCTCTCTCACTCTAATCCCTTCTGTTTAACTGCAGCAGACGCATCTGAATAATCACAGGCTTCCACACATTCTGCTGCCTCATCATCTGTATCGTAAGTCGTGTGCCAGTCACAAAACTCTTTTGTTTCTGCCGGTAACACACATACACACACTCACACACACACACACACAAAAGCAATGACTTGAGCTGTTTAGGCAGGTAGAATCAACACTTTCTTTTTGGTGAAAGAATTTTGAAAAAAATAAAATAAAATTGGGATCATTTTCAAGCTATTATCCATGCAACCAAAGAGGATAAGAAGAGTTTATTTCGTTTGTTGCAAAAGGCAAGATGGGGCCGCAGAATGGTAAAGTCAGTAGAAACATTAAATGATCTGTTGGTATTTGTCCCTCAGTTAAAGGTAAAAAAATATTAAGAGATTGTCAGGAATTAAGGATTATTGCTGACACAAATTTTTCTTGAATTCTATGAAAGCAGTTTGGCCATGAGAGAGACCTGCGTAAGAGAATGGATGTGAGAGAGAAGAGATGACAGACGTATTAAGAAAGGACTGAGAGAAACGTTGGGCGCCAGAGGTGACAGCCAAGAGTGCCTGTTAAGATCGGAGGAAGAAAGAGACGGAGAAGAAAAGCAGCAGGTCAAAGACCACCACTCTAAGGTCCAGGGGGGGATCTTCTTACATCACTGAGGGCTGAGTAAAACAGCCCGCACCATGCATGGTTACTCCCAGCAAACATAGCCACGGAGGAAAACCTCACTCTATCACACCGAGACACTCACAGGCCTGAAGGCTCGCAGACACACACACACCCACACACTGAGTGAAGGAAGAGCAGTTTGTCTCTCATTACTCTTGTTTCAGGGAGGTCAACTGTGTGACAGTCGGAGGTGACACCTTTCTAGCAGGAGACCTCTCATTGGGTCATAACGAATTACGCAGCTCCCATTTCACCTGTCTCTCAGCACCATCACATTCACACGGCAGTTGTGTGTGTTGTATTCATCAGGTTTGGTTTAAGTCTTAGTTCAAGTACCTCTGAGTTGTGTTTGACTGCGGCCGCTGGTATTTTTTTGTAACCATTCTGTATGTTCTATTAAATATACAATATATGAAAAAGTGTTATATTGTCCCAGTCGTAAAACTAATTAAAAAAAATGTTCATCTTTGTTAGTTAGAATAATGTCCCAAAAGTTCAAAACAAATAGTAAATATCAGTAACATCTACTTTGAATCAACAGGCAACAACAACGGTGTCAAGAATGGATTAAGACTTTATTTTCCATTATTACTGTAACAGCCTTTCTGAATATTTGTAATATTACTGTATTATTATTTCAGCAATAGTGATGGAACAATTCCTAAACTTATATTAATATTATGATTTGTGAATAAACATTGTTTCCTTTTAATAGATTGACTGAATTGCCTTAAAAGACACAAAGGTGAAGTCTCGGCCACATACCAAACTTTACCTGTTGCACTAGATTTGATTACAAGAGGTGAGTGGAGGACATGAGGAATTACTGAATGATGCACAACTTTCTCTTGCACGTGACATGCCAGTACATGTGCTAGCTTGAGTGACTGTGTGTGCATGTCAAAGAGTTGTGTCTGTTTTGGGATGTTTACGTGTGTGCAATACAGTTACTAAAGAACAAGGCAGTGGAAACACTAATACACAGACACACACACACTTTGCACATCGAATAAGAAAGTCTGTTGTACTCACAGTCCATGTGGCAGACTTGGCGGTGCTGGACTGCTGGAAGGACACCTGGAAGGTGTGTGGTCCAGGGTAGTCGGTGTTGGAGGGGATGGCAGGGGCAGGCGACAGGCCCTCGAAGGTGGAGTTGGGCTGGGAGTAGGGAGAGGGGGTGGGCACGGTCGACGAGGAGGCGTTCTCGGAGCTGTAGGGGCTGGCGGAGGTCGCACGGCTCCCCAGGCTGTCCATGCTGCTGCTCAGCAAGTTGTACTGGGACTGGGGAGAAAGGAAGAGGGAAGAGAATGAGGGAGGCGAAGGAGGGAGGAGAGAGACAGAGGGAGGACACAGGTAGAGGTGCTTGAGAGTCAGGGGCTTGGAAGCTTGCAGGGAGGTCGGATTACAATGGGAAGAGAGAGTTGTGGGTGTGTGATGCTACATGAGTGTGAGCACACATGTAACTGTCTAGGTAGATGTCCATAATCTTCACTGAGCATTTTGTATGAAGGTGACAGGTGAAAAAATCATCACAAGCTCAGGACAACAAACCTGAATGATTGTGTGTGTGTGTGTGTGTGTGTGTGTGTGTGGCGGTTGCAGTGACGTCCTCACAGGAGCCTCCTTGGGGCTGTGTGAGGCAAGTTGTTAAACACAAGCGTAATCTGTGCTCTGCCTAATTGCCTGCCTTTCCCCTATTGTCCTCTGCGTTGTGTTTGAGAGGAGAGGGAAGATTTGTTGCCCTGTGTGCAGCGACACTCTTATTAATGCACTGTGTGAGGCCCGTAAATAAATAAGTGACTGTATCATAGAAGGAAAACTACTTTGTGACCCCCTTATTTCTTTTACCACATGGAAATTTGTCAATTCTTTGTCACATTACTTGAGCAAAAAAAAAGACAATGAGTCCACGTTCATATTTGTATCATTTCTAACTCAGCTTACAACTCAACCCAACTTACAAATAATGACAACAATTAAATAATATAGATCATTAAATTAAATATGCCAGATGCCTCGGCCATATGAATGTCACACAACTGACAGAGACTTCACTCTGAATTACACATACATACACAACTACCCTATGAGCAGAAAAGCACAAAATCTTTACCTTCTTTTTCACGTAGTACATCCTTTACTGCTTTGGTCTCATTTGTCAACTCTTCGGTCAGAAACGTCCAGACACAGTAAACCAAAGAGAATGCAGGAGCAACACAAGAGTTCAAGAGAAGTGTGCATCAGTGGACACACTGTCACACACTTACTCACTCACACACACAGACACATGTACAGCCAGGACAGGGGGAAAAAGGTGAGGACTGGCGTGGAGAGAGAGAAACGATAGACTGAGACAAGAGGAGAGAGGGAAAGAAGGATGGGAACCCAAAAAATGGTTCGACGTTCTAATTATGGCATGCCCGGACATAGACGGCAATGCCGGGGCGCATGTACACACATGCTCCAAAACACCTTGTGAAGGCCTGCACTAAGTAAACACTGTCTGGTTTTGAGATAGAGAGAGAGAGAGAGAGAGGGAGAGAGAGAGAGAGAGAGAGCGGCAAGAAGGAAAACACATGAAAGAATAGTTCAAGGGTCAGACCCAGCACCCAGTATTGTATATCAATACAGCATTAAATCCACAGTCTAACTTTTAAAAACAGGGACTCCTGAACACTAATGGACACACAAAAATATATCATTGATCCAGAATGATCTGAGTAAATGGTTTATTAAATGTTTTTTTAATTTTACTTCACATTTGGTTAGAATCTAAAACCCAACCAACCCCAGACAATATTTACAATTACTTAATAAGTCAATTTTGACGATATTCACATGCATGAGCAGAACATGCCCATACCAATTAAAAACACCAATGATATTTAATTTAGACTGAACGTGCTGGAACTTTTCTTTATTTAACTATACCTATTCTCTGGAAGTTATAAAACCCTAACCTGAATTCATATCCTCATTTCACCTGCACATCCTGCCCCAAAGCACCATAGCATTAAGTTTACACAAGGATATGTAAACTTAATGCTACGGTTCATGAGCTGAAAGCAAAGGGACAGGTCAATGTCCTCGACTTGACGCAAACAGTGTAGGTTAAATGTGGACGTATGCATCTGTGGGTGTTTAGAGTCCAAAAACTTCTAATGTATGATAGTTCTATGCTTTACTTTCTGGTGTTACAGCTAAATCAATCATATAACATGCAGCGCTGAAAAGATCATTACAGTCATTTTATTATAAAAAATGCTTCATTTGCTGCTTTCTTTGAAATGATGGTTGGGATTAAATAGCAGTTTAAAGACGTCACATAGAAGACTAAGTATTTCTTGTACTATCTGCTCACACTTTGATGACAAAACAATCAATACAATAGTGATGGGCGGATTAATCAAAAATAAAGGCAGCTTATGTCTTAAATATCTAATATGTGGTGGTGAAAGTTGGGATAACTACAGCATTTGCTACATAAATACCACTATGAAAAGTATGAGAGAGTTGCTGATGTTATTTTTCTGATTAGTGTATAAATAACTGATTCTGTAGTGCTTTTGAAGAAGAGCTATAGTAAAATGGACTTTATGGGTAAATCGTAAGTCCAGGTGTGTGTGTTGAACAGAAAACACTTGACACTTGGGGCATGCACACTGTCACACAGACGCATGCACTCACAGGTGCGCTTGGACTTAATGTCTAAACTTGATCTGCAACAAGTTGAAACAGGGCCTAAAAACCTCCGCTGCAACCGTATGTGTGTGTGTTTGTGTGAGCGCTTAAGCTTCCCATCCCAACAGAATCCGATGTCCCCTATGGGCAGCCATCCTGGTAGCTGCCACTCAAAGCCGAGCTTTAAAGGCTAAGGACATTTAGAAGCGTAGATAAGGCAGCCACAACAACCCTCACTTGTCAAGATGAGTGAAACATTATAGGCTGAGGAGAAAGAGAGTATCAACATGCTAATGACCTCTGTTTACAGCCACTTATTAAACTGAAGCCTATGGTTGAATGAAAACAGCACAGATACGTTAAACCACCCAGACTCACGTGTTACTCACTGTTGAAAATAAAGACCCAACCTGACCAAAATGAAAAGTTAGGCCAAATGAATGACATGGCATCATGAGAAAGCTGGTGCATGTCTAAACCTCGCCAGCTATGTTAAATAAAAGTGGGGATAAGAGGAGGTAAAACATAGAGAGATGTGGAGGAAGGTTGCCCCCTGTTGGAAATACTTGGAAAAGTGCAGCAACAGGATGCATCATTAAGTGGTCCACAACCTGAAGAACGTTATATTCTTTAAATTCATGTGAATTGTTATAGATTAGAATAACATTATCAAAGTTAATTTATTATTACTTCATAATTAATGTGAGAGGAAAATGAAGTTAAAGCAGAATGAACCATAACTGGATCAGAATTTGTCAGGGGCCTGTTTTAACGTCCATGTTTTCAAACAAATGCAACTTGTCAATGTACCAGCGAAGTGTGATCATAGCTGATGATATATCACATTGTTTTACTCATACACACACAAATGCAAGTTAGCCACTTCTTATGCACACAAGAAAAATAGAACGCAATCCTGAGTTTCAAATATCAACTCACTTTCAACACCATGATGAGAACAGAAAATACATTCACTCATGTCATGTTTGACTTCCACTGACAAACAGTGATCATGAGCCCAAGCCAAGCCCATCAACATTACAACCAAAGTCTACACTCCGGTTACACAGGTTACATTAACCATCTTCACTATCAGACCACAACATTTAAAAACCAATCCTGAACGTGCCACAACACAAACCCTTCGCTCTTGTCCACTTACCACACCATACAGCATCTTAAGGCTCCTAACAGGTGAGAGGGGGTGTATCTATGGCGTCTCCGACCCAGCTCTCATAGGACTCGCACTGTGCTGTGGTCAAACGTGGCTGTAAGAGTCGAGCTCTCCACGGCCAGCTGCCCTCACTGTGAAGCGGGACATGATGGAGGATACAGGACACATCCAGCCTCCCTTCTCCTCCACTTGTTACCCCTGTCTGACTGGGCCTTCTACACCGGCCTTGCAACTAACAACAAATCCCCACTCCCCCCCTGTCTTTTTCTGTCATGACTATTCATTAACCAGGTCAGGCAGGCCCAGGCTTGCCCACTCAAAGATTAGATCCTACCAATATTACAAATCAGTAGGGGAAGGAAACATAGGTGTGTTTGGGAGGGGCCTCGCGATTTCCTTTTTGACAACCAGAGATGCATGGAGGTTCTGGAGTTAATAGTGTATATCAGTGTGGTCCTGCAAAAACTTTGTATCTGATTTTAGGCTCAGAAAATGATTTTGGTGTTGAATTTATGAAAAATAATTTGTGGTCAAGAAGAACACTAGGCTCTTTGTCCTCATTCATATAAAGAGTTGTCTGTGGATATAAATTACAATATAGCGACAAAAATGAGCAGGTGCGTGCACCTGCAAAAATGTGTGCATGTTTGTTAATGCACACCCACAACATAAACACCCACACAGATGGATCTACATTGGAGCAGCATGAAGTCCAAGCCTGCAGTTTAATTAGCCCTTCCCCAACTCAAACACACACACTACCCCCTCAGTCCCTACAGGCCGCTCAGCAGGGAGACAGATGGAGGGAAAAGGCTGCAGAGGAGAGGGAATCTACAGGGGAGGGAATCTCCTTCACACTGGAGGGAAAAAAGTGGAAGGTTGCACCAAAATGGGAAAGAAGGAGGGATCCTTGGGTGTGTGTGTGTGTGTGTGTGTGTGTGTGTGTGTGTGAGTGGAGTGGGGGGGTGGGGTGGGGTGGGGGTGGGAGGTGGGGGTGTGTGTGTGCAAAGCTTGACCACAAACTGAACTGCAATGGGAGCTCACGTTCTTACCATCACATTGTCGTTCATGTCCCTCATATGGTAGATGTCCATGGAGACTTCGGCAGCGCTGCAGTGGCTCCCCGGGGTGCTGGTGGAGGGCACTGGCCGCTCACCTGGCTGGCTGCCTGGTGGGAGCTCAAAGTAGGTGCTGTCTGGCTCCCTTTGAACACACAAACACCGTGGATACTAGATGGTCAAAAGGATGTTTCCAAAAATCATTGTAGCACAAAGGGGGGGCTCTGTGTCTGATATGTAAATAAAACATGAGTTCTGGGACTGTTTGGTTTTTCAGGCTGGCAAAGAGAAATAAAAAGTATTTATATACCACAAGATTTTTACCCCAACATTTACATCCCTAAATCCTGCTGTGATGTTTGATAAGAGATTATTCACACTGTGATTTTGATTATGTTTGCACCACAGAAACACTGGTCTACCTAACATTCTATTACTGGAGTTTAAGTACTGAATGAATGCATCATCTGGACTAGTATTGAGTTTGGAATAATCCGTCTGCTTATAAAATAATCTCTCAAGTGATGACAGAATCATGTGTCTGACACATCTTACATTTTGATTGAAGAAACCATTATGTCATCTGGAAAATATGTTAATCACTGCATGGAAAGTAAAAGGGTGATCAGCAGATGTTGTTAATACTCACAGGGAACTCCACAGGTGCTCAAAGGTGCCTCCCTCTTCAGTGACAGTGGACTGGGACATCTTAAAGGATGGGTAGTCTGGTGAGGGACAGATCACTCTGCAGAGCACACACACACACACACGTTTTTTTATTTAGCTGGTGAGACAAATAATTTCCATAAAACGAACTCATCAGTGTTTTCATCAGTGCTCAAAGGAAGAAGCATCTCTCACACACACACACACACACACACACACACACACACACACACACACACACACACACACACACACACACACACACACATCCAGGTGTGATCACACCAATGTAGTCCCAGTAAGGTGGTACACGGTGTCAGGGGGCCTGGGCGTGCCCGGACCTGCCTACCTCGTCACCGTCTCAATCCGAGGGGAAGCTCCCTCCCTCCCCTCCGCAAAGTCTCGACATCACCCCCTCCTCCGCCTCTTGTCTCAAAATAACACAGCACCTTCAGCGCAACTCAAGCAAAAGCAGCCGCCTTACAGATTTATTGCAACTCCATCTACTGCCAGAAAACTTTGACCATGGTCGTGCACAGTTTAGAAACACGCGTCTAAGAAGGACATCCGGGCCTTGCACAACTCACAGTGAAATAGAGAATGAAAGGCCGCAGGCCTACCGCGTTAAAATGATAAGATCACGTCCTCGATATGTCTCCAGTTTGATGTGCTGATCAAGAGGTAACACAAACCCCTGTCGGATACTCTGGGCTGAACTTGTGGGTAACACAGTTTATTCTATTCACAGTTGCGCACCGCAGCAGCGTCGCATCTCCTTAGTAACCTCAGTGAAGGAGTGAGACAGTTTGTGCCTATTTTTAAAGACGCATCATCCCTAATTCAAACCACTTCCTTTATATGGTTTTCTGCGAATTATCTGCGTTGTTACTCTTGTGAACCCGCGAGTTTAAATGATCCCTACTGTAATCTTATCTCTTACCGTTTCACTTTGGTCTGCATCGATTGAAGATGTGCAGCTTTGTAAACATCTGAAGTGATGTCGTGACTGTTGAACAAAGGCTGTTAGGTTCATCTCAGTAAGTTTTCAGCCATGATCCATTAGACGTGACGATCAAATAAATAGTTGTGACACACATGGATACAGGGGCCTGCAGTACACCGTTCAAGCCACGTGGTTCCCGCTGCTCCCCTGCTGCCTGCCGCTGCACAAATCAGCACCTGATTCCCAACTCGTCCCGTGGCGCCGCATCGCCAGACCCCAGAGCAGCTCCAGTGTCAACGCAGGGGATCTGACCTCAGCAGCTTAACTGAGATTTACACCTGCACCACAGGACTGTCCTCTCAAACCCAGACCATACATAACAACAAGACTTCGTATCTAAATCTACAATACATCTATATATACAGGATGGAAAGAAAATCATCATATCAGAGATAGACAGACAGACAGACAGATAGAATGAAATATAGAACGAAAGATAGATAGATGGATAGGTAGATAGAAAGACAGACAGACAGAATATATTTCACAGTCTATTTCAGTTTCAACTATAACTTGCATGGCGTCACAGTCAATGATAAAACATATATTGAAACACTATAATTTAAATTCAAATTGAAGTATTTATTTTCTCAACACCTCCTCTTTAGGTTCCTCTGATCACTTGTCTCTACTTTGTGTCTCCACTCCCAGGTTACGGCACCCATGACAACACACACACATACACACACACTCAAACGCACATTGCCTCCCGAGGGCCAGTTTATGAAAGAGAATACAGAGTCCCGAGCGAGTTTAAATTAATTTAAATATTGTTTTAGATTCGATCTTCCTCAGCCCCAAGTGATATATTCAATAAGAGGTCTGTCGTTATTGTTATCATTGGATGTGGCTCGTTCACCCTACACACAGCATCGAAATGTATTTAAATAAAACAAATAACGGAAAAGAGAAACAATTATAAGATAATAGGAATTACTCAGCGTTTTATGAATGTAAATTAATATATGTTATGCTATTGATAACTGTCTACATGTTAACATAAAAAATAACAAGCTCGAATAAAATGGAAATAAGACATTTCCTATAAAACGTTTATGTAGGGGACATTTAAGGGACGGTTTCGAAGGCCTAGATTATTATTTAGACATTTAATTTAATTTATAATAACCTACTGTTTTTTTTATACCATTAAGAATAGGCCAACATAGAAACGACCATTAACAAATACCCCTAACACGATCTGCTGCAAAATCAAATCAATAAAACAGCCAGAGAGATTTTAAAATAAAATACAGTTTTAAATGATAGGAGTCTTAAATAGACTTGGCAATTTCTAAAATGTAGCTTGTTTAGAATAATCTTTTAGATCAGTCTATTTCGTAAAAACAAATGCTGACAAACTAGGCCTGCTGCACAACTTAAAAAACGTATATCATCAGATAATAAATCACCACCGCCAGTCATTAAGGAATAAATCAACGTACCTGAAGGTTATTATGACTCCAATCCAAATGCACAGGAATTATGTTGCGCCGAGCACCTGCCTGTTTATCATGGAGCGTGCCAAGAGAGTGACCCTCCATAAAAATAAAAAAACAAACAACAAAAAACAGCAACAAATAAAGTAAAAAAAAAAGAAAGAATCGACCGTGTTCAGAGTGTGATAACAGTGGTTGGAGGCGATTGACTTTTCGGAGAAGCAGAATGAAGTGCGAGGAAAGCGCAGCAGCAGCGGAGGGAAGCTGTGAGCTGTGCGGAGGAGGAGGAGGTGAAGCGGGGAGGCGGCAGCGCGGTTTGGACTCACATTAGCGGGAAACACGGAGATGGTGGGGGGTAAGACAAATGATACAAATTCTCTTTAGCCTACACCGACATCAAGTTTCTATGAATAAAACACAACCCTCTCACTACAGGCTGTACTACCAGCAGGGCAATGAAAGAAGAACAGATGATAAAGTTAGGATTGTGAAAAAAAGCATAAATAATCAGAAAATGGCAGCATTTCAACTGATCAGCCTGAAAATAGAAGAAAACTACTTTTCTATTTGGGTTTATATTAATTGCACAAACAGGCGTCTGCACGCGCAGAAAAAGAGGCGAAAATATGATAATGAACAACATTTCCCAGAAGGCAAAGCGCAGCGGAAAGAAGCTGATTGGACAGCGTCGGTGTGTCGTCATCTCCTCAAACAAACAAACAAACTAGCAACAGTTGGAGGGAGGACCAGAGGGAAACCGAGCTGGAGACATGTGGAGAAAACTACTTTCATAGAGTCAAACTGGGCTGTTTGCGTCCGTCCACTGGTCGACGCAGTTAAGATAGAGCTGAGGCCGGAGGTGAGACATACCACTGTTTGTGAGCAAGACCGTGACGGTTAGCTAGCGTAACCGAGACGATGCTAGCAGCGCATTAGCGTCCAGTGACAGGTAACAGCTAACACCAACGTTAGCGTATTATCTATCAGTCTGTCTGCTGGGTTAAAGTTCTCTATATAGCGGGGGAATAAAATGTCAAAACAAGTCCTTATTAAGACTCGTTTCATTTGTCACGTTTGAACTGTTTATTTTAATTGTGTTAGCTAAGTTAACATAACTTGTTAGCGACTGGTAGCTCTCGCTGCTGAGCTTGTTTTAAAATGGGTTAAATCCAGTGTTACTCCGTTCATCACTTTCCATTCATTATAACTACTCCTGCTGTTGAGGAGAACTGTAGGATGTGCTGCTCACTGTGTGAAGAGGGTTTATTGAATGGGCTTATGGCGCCACCACGTGTCAATACTCGTGCACTGCTGACTTCTCAGTTTGAACTGCTCATCTCTCATCATGTTTGAAGAAATTCGCTAAAGCTTTTATTTAAAAATCCATATTACATTTTATTTATTTAAATGTTCCCAGTTTAGGAACAGCTGTGATCACAAGATGAATTTCTCAGAGGTCTTCAAGCAATCCAACCAACTTTGTAAAGTTTCCCCAGATGGGAAATATTTGGTGAGTGGTTGTTGTTGTTTAAGACATACTATTTTGTTAGTTTTTGTAGTGTGTATATTCAAGGTATTTAACATATTTATATATGAATAAAACAGAATTGGAGGTGTTATTTTTTCTGACATGTGATTGGTTGAACTCCTCAGGCTACCTGTGTGCAGTACAGACTGGTGGTGCGAGATGTGAGCACCCTGCAGATCCTGCAGCTCTACACCTGCCTGGACCAGATATCCCACATGGACTGGTCTTCTGACTCTCTCTTTATTCTCTGTGCTATGTACAAGAGAGGACTGGTACAGGTATGTTAGAAGGGGACTGTAATGTGAGTAACTCAACTCACAACTGAAAGATTGCAGTCTTCATCAGATTGAGTATGGCTGTAGATTGAATACTTTGTTGGACAATCTATCTAAGCTCCAGCAGCTTGTGTTAGTCACACACGATCAATGTTTGTGTTATTTGATCAAAATAATAATTGAGAGATTAATCAACAACAAAAATTATTTGCCATACCCTTAAAACACTATATTTATAATACAGCATTGCCCAAGCAAAATATTTCTGCTTTCTAGTCTGTTCAAAATATGACAACATGAACAGGTTATGTGGTTTTAAAACAAAAGATAAATCAAAATAATCGAACTTAGCTTGTACATACAAGTTGGTAAAGAGAATAAATCGACCGTATTACATTGATAAACTTCCAAGTACAGACTAGGAAATGTTTTCTTTTAGAGTTTTGTCTGATGGACACAAAACCTTGCTGAAACAAGCAAAGATAACATTAACACTAAATTCATTGCACTGCACTACTAGGGGGTCTCTAATCATCACATCCTCTTTTGACAATATGTAGGAATCAGTTAAAATGCTAAAATATCTCTTCCTCAAAAAATGTGTCTTTTCAGTTGAATTTGTTTTAATTTAATATAATTTAGCCACTTCAAACATGCCCTGTTGCACAGTTAGTTAAACTCACATTTTGTGCTGTTCTGTAAATGTACATGTAATTTGCTTAAACAGTAATCATTCATTTTCACATTTTGTTCAATGTATACATTGTAGAACCATGTCCTCTTACTCCAGGCCCCTGTCACAGTTCACAACAACCAATCTCTGTTAATAAATCATTCTCATTTTCAGAAAATAGGGATGCAACTTTTGGAATGAAAAAATGTTTTTAAAGTATCTTACCTTTGAAGGGGTATCCAGCGCCAGTCTTTCATGGTTTGTGATGGTCAAGTGTTTCTCACTGATTGAAATCAGTTTTAGGGAGGTACAGGATGTGTGCGAGGGATGTAATAAGTGGTGGCTGATCACGGTTCTGTCACTCTCCCTCTCCTCTCTGTCTTCCTCTTCAGGTATGGTCACTCGAACAGCCGGACTGGCACTGTAAGATTGATGAGGGCTCAATAGGTTTAGTCTCCTCGCGCTGGAGTCCAGACGGACGTCACATTCTCAACACCACTGAGTTCCATGTAAGTGTGAAGTTGCTGTGTGCATGCGTGCATGCATCCATGCACACGGAAGTGTGTTTATGCATATGCTTGTCTGGTTTCAACTGTTGCTGGCCTACAAGTGAGGGGGACCTGAAAATAGCCAGACACCAGAGCCTTTCTTAACTGCCACTACACCCCCCACCTGCTGCATGTATTCAGCCTGATTTCATAGCTCCCCTCCTGTTAGTGTCCTGTCATACATGGGTCTCAAGTACCTCTGGACATGGGTGCATGTTGTATGTTGCCTTCCAATGTAGGTTTGGTATGTTCTTGAACAGCAAGTCTGTTAAATGATGTTCCAACCCAAATGTTGGAATGTTTCTACTTCTCTATCTGAGTCAATACAGTGATATCAAACCCCAGGTTGTACTTTGGGAGCAACTAAATGGTGAAAAAGAATCTAATTTCTGAGTTGTTTTTCACACAAGGGAATAGAACTGTGTATGTCGCAATATAACAGCAGTTTGATCAATGTAAGGGCCAAATTAAAGTCAAGAGAATTTGAGGGTTTACAAAAGTCATCAAAA